TATTAATCAAAAACATAACTTTTGTATCACCAAGCGTAGAAATTGAGTCTCCGGACAAATATACTATAGATATCATACAGTCAAACCTCGGGAACCGATGTGCATGGTAGACAGGCTTTGTATCGGTATTGAGAAGCTACGTACCAGATTTGAACACATTATAAGCTATTAATTTTTTATCAGATTTGACAGGATCGGTTTTGAGAGTTCAACTGTAGTTCCTTACATCAATATCGTACAATTTAAAATTATCACTTTGCACTCTCTACAATAGGGCTGTGGAAAATGCACATCTGAAAGGTTATGCCAGTCATTAAATCAAAAGAGTGTAAACTTCAGGATATAGTGCAGGCTTATATTTATTTAATAATGATATTTAAAGAGGTAAAATTTCGTGCTGAAAATTTTATTTAGAAGTCAAACTGTAGTTGGTATGGTGAAATCTTGTTATTTACGATTTGTTTGTTTTTCGATATTTTTTTCGGGTTGTTATATTACACTTGATCTTATGATTTTATTTTCAGATGTGCGTGGAAGATGCACCAAGGTATATTTAAACATTGGTTTTCAAGTATTTCACTTTTCTTCTTTCGCGATTCTATATCGGCTGATCCAGAATAGTGATTGACCATTTCCTTTTTAGGAGTTTGTTCACCTGCGAAATTAATTTTTTTTACAGATCTTAAAAATTTTTGTGTTTTGCAACAGAACTGCCGATGCAAAATGCTGTTCTCTTTCTATTTACCAGAATGCCTTTTCGAAATTTTTAAATATCTCGATCATAATATCTTATTTACCTGCCCTCTTGTGAATCATGAATGGTGTGGATTTATTTTGCCCATATTATGGTACAACCCTAATTTTGAATGCTCTAAAATTATTAGAACGTTGCTTTTAAGATTAAATGCAAATGAAAGAGCATTAATCCCTTTTCAAAATATAATCCCTCAAGATGCTCCAAGTTTACTTTTCGATTATTCAAGCCACATAGTTACCGTTTCCAGCGATGATTTAAACAATGGAATTAATAATTGGCTTAAATATATAAAAAAAGCAAAGAAATCTTCCTCTACAATTATAATTCCTTTGATCTTGATGATTTTACGAACTAGTAAAAAACTTAGAAATTTAGACCTTGACGGAATTTCATATGATCATATTGATAGACATGAATTAAAGAACTTATTATCAGATGCTCTCTGCCAAAATGATACTCTAACTTCCTTAAAGGTTGTGAATCATTGCTTTGACTCTGAAAGATGGAAGACATTGGCAGATGCCCTTGGGAAAAATTCCACTTTAACTTCATTATATCTTTCGAATAATCAACTTGGTGACAAAGGAGGAAAAGCGGTTGCGAATGCTCTCAGCAAAAATAACACCTTGACCTCATTAACTCTTTTAAATAATAAACTTACTTCTGAAGGTGGAGAATCGTTTGCGGAAGCTCTTAATAAAAGTACCACATTAAATTATTTAAATCTTTCAAATAATTATTTGGGCTCGAAAGGTGGAAAAGCATTAGCAGAAGCTCTTTACAGCAATAACAAATTAACTTCCTTGCACCTTTCAGGTATTCAGCTCGATCTTGAAGGAGGGAAAGCACTAGCAAAGGCTCTAGATGAAAACACAACTTTGACCTCCTTAAATATTCGCAATAATAAACTTGGACACGAAGGAGGAAAGAAATTAGCATATGTTCTTTGCATAAACAAAACTTTAACCTCCTTAGATATTTCAAGTAATTTGATTCTCGCTGAAGGGGTGAAAGCGTTATCAGATGCTCTTATTAAAAATGGCACTTTAACTTCATTAAATCTTAAAAAGAATCGTATTGATCTTGATGGAGTAAAAGCATTAGCAAAGGTTCTTCACAAAAACCGCTCGTTGACTTTTTTGGATCTTTCAGATAATAAACTTTCTTCTGAAGGGATAAAAGCATTGGCGGAAGCTCTTTATATAAACCGTGCGTTAACTTCATTGTATCTTGAAAATACCGGATTTGTTCCTGAGGATGGGGAAGTGTTTGCAGAGGTTCTTCGCAAAAATAACACTTTAACTTCTTTATCCATTTCAAATAATAAGCTTGGTCATGAGGGAGGAAAAGTGCTAGCAAGTGCTCTTTGTGAAAATAACACATTGACTAACTTAGATCTTTCATTTAACAAGTTTGGTAGTAGAATAGAAAATGCGTTTTCAGAAGCTCTTTCCAAAAACAATGCTTTAACTTATTTAGATATCTCAGGCAATCAAATTTCTGACGAGATAATAGATGAATTAAGAAAACCTTTTGATACAAAAACAGACATGACTATTATATCATAGATTTGGGATTAGTGTTGTCTGCTGCAAAGTCGCAACCTAATCTTTACAGCTTATTTATGTTGTAATTATTACAAAATAAGCAAAAGTATTATATTACCGATGTCACATTCTATTGCGTCGATAAGTTGCAACCCTAGTTGCGCAATAAAAAAGTCGCACTTCATATTAAAGATTTTATCTTGATATGATTATTATATTTTTTTACGGTGAATTTCAGTAAGTCTAATGTAATCAGTGACAAAATAATTAACTAGCGAAACGGCGACGTTTCATAGGGCTGGAGCCTTACTTCCTAGGTGAAGATTGTATAATAAATGTATATATGTTGTAAGTGGTAATGGAATTTAAGTGGATTTGGAATTTCCTAATTAAATTAGGGTTATGGTTAGGGCAGTGTCTGAAATTGGGTTGCGGAATATGCGGACCGCACCAAATTTTAAATTTTTGCAAATAAAACTTGATATGCAGGTGCGGAATCTGCAAATAAATTTTCTAAATTTCCGCAAGCTTTCCGCATATTATTTTAAATTATACATATCCCGCAAGTAAGTTATTTAATTCACTTGCGGGTTCTATACTGGATTATTGATATTGTGACGTCCAGCGGGAGAGACTTGGTTATATCGTTATCGATTTAACTCAGGGACGTCAACATTAAAAGGGACGAAAGCAAGGATTTATTATCTCTCTCAGATATCAAAGTACTGAACCAATATCTTTATTTGTGTCCCAGACACTAACTATACTAATATCTCTATTTCCTCTAATCAACCTAGCAAGTTCCAAACTCACTAGAACCCAACTAAAAATACAAAACAAAAACTGAATAAAATCTCTCTAAGAATCCAAACTAAAAGTACTCTCTAAAAACTAACTCTCTAAAGAACTAAAGTACATAACGTTCTATATATATTAACAAATAGACTCTAAATAAGCTATAGACTATTTAAAGACTAATTAAGGTATGCTTTATGCTTCGCATAAACTATTAAATCGTTACACAAATAAGTATATAAAAGTATAATGAAAGTATAACAAAAATATAACGGTTACACACACAAAGTTTACTTTGTTGCGTCACAATATGCAGTTTTGTAGAGCTTACATAGCGTCGCCCCAAAAAAATGGTAGCCAGATTTTTTGTTGGCTTACATCGATTTTGAAAACTGATTGCCGGTAAAGTTGCGTTTATCATACTTAAAAATAATATTTCGTTTTGATTTTCGCTTTGATTTTCGTCTTGGCTTTGATTTTGACTTTCACTTTGACGTTCACTTTGATTTTCATTTTACTTTCACTTTGACTTTCACTTTGACTTTCATTTTAACTTTGACTTTAACTTTGATTTTCACTTTGACTTTCGCCTTGACTTTCATCTTGACTTTCGTTTTGACTTTCGTTTTGACTTTCGGTTTGACTTTCGGTTGACTTCCAGTTTGACTTCCGTTTTGACTTTCGTTATGATTTTCAATTTGACTTTCCTTTCGTTTTACTTTCGCTTGACTTCGAGAATATTTACTGTATTGAATTCACGAAATAAAGTGCGTCATATTTTTACAAGCAAAACAACTCGTTTAAGCAATAAAATATAATAACTCAAACCAAACATGATAATTAGTTACATCGCTAAAATTGTATATAGTTATTCAGTGCCTCTTATTATTCGTGTTAATTTGGATGGTGAGCGTAAAAGAACTTTTTAATTAATTAAAATAAGTGATTCAAGTTTGAGCATTTACTTATTTGATTTGCATTAATCTAGCTAATTGAGTGAGTATATACTTGTTCGCATTAATTTTTGTGAATATGAAGTTCTTTATAAATAACTATTATTACATAGTGATGCTTATATTATTTTGTTTAATTCCTGTTGTTAAGTAAGAAGATTAAGACTAAGGCGTTTGTACAATGTCGAAAAATTATTATCAACGAACTTAAAACACAAGCATTTTGGTCGGAATAAAAATTCAGAAATTCAGTACTGGATAATATATTTAAGCTAAATATATTGTTTTCTAGTCAGTTCTCAGAATTGATTCTGGATAATATACGTATATGATTTTGTTTATTAGCGTTAATTCAGTTGAGTATAAAGATCTTGATCGATCGCTTAAATAAATTCTTTAAGTTCGCGATTCTGCTTCTTATTTATTCTTGCTAATTTAGCGAGTAAATACAAACTTTAGTATTAAAATAAATTATAGTTACATAATGCTACTCATATTTTTTAATTCGCATCAACTTAATTATCTTTTAACCAATACATTAAAATTTGTGAATTCATAGATTTGCTATCTATGTTAATTTAACTTATAATAAAGTAAGCTACTTTATAGTGCATAAAGATTTATTCGCTATAACTAAAAAAAATGCAAGTTATTTTCATTGAATAAAAAGGTTCATAATTTATCCGGCAATCAGTATCCGAAATCACATGTAAGCCGGCAAAATAATCCGGCTACCATTTTTTCTGGGCAACGCTAGGGTTGTTGGATTATATACCGAAGTATCATTAGAATAAGCATATGGTCCCTCTCGAAATTCCTTTTCCTCATTATAGAGCGTAACAATGTTTTGGTCCGGAAGCACTTTCAAAACCCACTTAGTTTTAGATTCCCAGGGCATAAGAAGTTTAAGATGAACTATGATAAAATCCGGTTCGCCAACAATATTTTTCAAAGCACGGCCATCCAAAAAAAAATAGGTCGATCTAATGGTGTTAATGCATCGCAGATATTCACATCTGTTGCTGACCAGATATCTTTCTCGCAAGTGATTTTACGCGTTCTAAATGTGGGTTTTTGGTATTTTTTATCTGCTTCCGGTTGCCATGTTCGAACTTCTTGTTCAAACTCCAACCAATTCGTGATCTCATCAGGAAAACGCTGTTCAGTAGATTCATTAGTTGAGTTTGATTTGTCACGTAAATTAAGGTAGACCAGATTTGGTATGGTATTTAGAACGATTTCCGGTAAAGAATTCTCTAAAGCGTTGTTGATTGATGTTGTAATAGAAATAACAGGATCTTCTTCAGGTAGCCTTTCCCCTTTTCAATAGTCTTGTGTTTCTTTTTGATTTAACTTTCTCAATATCTTTTCTCTTAGTAGAAGTGATATCTTGGTTTTCCTTTTCATCCTTCTTTCCAGATTTCTGTAGTAGCAAAATGCATGAGTAAGATATAGCAATTCCTCCTCTAGAATCAGACCTTAACCTAATAGTAAGATGTGCACCTCTATGTCTGGACGCTTTTCTTCCCTGTGTACGAAAACGTAGGGAGTAGCACACTACTAACTACTCTTATTAATGTTTTCACATTCTAAAGAACATGTAAAAATAAAAACTTTCAGTTGACGCTTTAGTGCTAACGCTTTCTCCCTTCTTTCGTAATAGCTCTACCAACACTTTCAATTCTTTACCTAAATCGCGATGTGACGACACTTTTGGCTTATCGGGATAATTTATGAAATGAAAATTGTCCCAGGTATTTATCGTCCACTGCGTGTACGGCCTTTCCCAGTAACTTGAATGTCGAAGTTTATTTAAAATTTCTTTTGACAACATCGTTATGCAAGAAGGCGAAAAAAATAATAAAAAGTAAGGTATAAAATCATAGTTTAAAATATAACAAAATGCTTATGGGATCTTTGCTAGGAAAATCACCGACATTTTCCGATCAGGATATTTGGAACATTTTAAGCCAACATGCCAGTTCTTTTTTACATGTAAATCATATTTGGCATTTATTGATTCAATAGCTTATCGAATGAACGTTTGAATCAATAAAGGCAAAATTGATTTACTTGCAAATAGGTACTGATATCGATATATTGGTTTGAGTTTGTCCGAATTAGCCCGATCGGAAAATGTCGAAGGGTGATTTTCCTAGCAAAAATCCCATATGCAGTATGGCTCGAACTGACATCTCGACGCGAAAAAATTTAACATGCGAAAAATTAAGTTATATATTATTGACACAAAAAACGAAAACAAAGCTGTACTGTATACGCGATTCATGTATCACAGATTAACTTAGCTCATCTCGGGAGTCGGGAGCTAACCAGAATAGGCAGATCGCAATATTTTACCCCGTCTTGCGAGTATCTTGCAGGTGGTACATTTAGGCGATCACTGCATGCAGACTTCTCATGTGAAGCGCCTTTAAAACATCAATCGAATCCAAATCTGAAAAATTTATAGTAGTTTCCTTTCCACTAAAATTACTCTGTATGGATGATGCTTTAGACCTATATTTCTCACATTCTGAAATTCTGATGATTTGTACAAAGTTATGCTCCACATCAATACGATATCATTTTTTCGTGTGAGGTTATATACAGTATGCATCAAGGTACGTACAATCAAGATTTATGTTGATATTTTTAATCATAAATCTGGTGGCTGATTAATTGTGTTTAGTTTTACATGATTTAATACATTGTATAATTATCGATGTGACTCGAGAATTTTTCTTGCGAAAAGTAATCTGCGAGACAAATCTGTCCCGTACTAGTAATTTTTATCGTTCACGAAACCCTATTTTTTGATCACTGATGAAAATCGTGATTTCATTAATCGGTGTAATTCTTTTTTTTTTTTTTGAAAACGAGGTCTTGCCTCAGTTTTTTATTAATAAAAGTTATGTGGATATATTTACATAAAACCATTACATATACTCTAAAGCTAAAACTAAGACTTGGGTTTACCCACGATCCAAACTTTACCAAGAGGGCCAAAGACCTCGCCTAGATTACGATTTGAGAAAGTGTTTTTGGGGATTTATTGTTTTGTATAAATGTTCAGGTCCATTTCTCTATTTACTTTTTTGTTGTCTCTTCAATGTTTGTTTTAAGGTCATTTGTTGTTGAGTGTCACCCATGGTGGTTTGTTGAGTGTTTTGCGGTAAGGCAGTAATTGTGGTGTGGTCTGCTGTGTCTCGGCATCTTGGTACTCAGATCTTGTAGAGTACTTTGTTGATTTTATGTAGTATTGAGGTTGTGGGTGTGTGTTTTCTCTTTGTCCTTTTTAGTAGGCGGTTAGTTGAAGTTGCTTGGGTTTCTGAGGTGATTCCTATTAGAATGTCTGGAGGAACATTATTGTGGATGGCTGAAGCTGGTATTTGTAATATATTCAATATGTGTTCCTCTGTTGAACTACCCCATAAAAGTAAAACACATGATCAACTCTTCACAATATTAAAAAAAATGCAACAATGACGCTATGTATATTAAATATCGTTTTATCATTAAAATCTTAATTCATTTTCTTATAGTTTCGATGTAAGGAATATCGATGCACGCTCGCGATAAATGAATATACTAACTAATAAACAATTTCATATATGAGTGTCGCTAAAAGAAAACCCGAAAATTTAAATATGATTTATTATATTTAAATTTTCGGGTTTTCTTTTAGCGACACTCATATATTTAAATTAGAATAATAGTATAAACTTTTGTTTTTTACCAAAAAGATTCACCTTTTTAACTCGACTTTATTATACTATTCTATTTAACAAACGTTTCTTCACAATAAGTTTATGAAATGTGCTTGCAAAGTCTATATGTATTCAAAATATTCGCTCAAAAATCTGAAAAGTACTATCATTATATTATGATGTATTTTTATAAACATGCTTAGCAAAAAGATATCCATTTTCATCGTGCAATATTTATTTTATTTTTTTGATCGAAGTTTCATATATTTTTTTTACATAGATTTTAAATATTGTATATATTAGCATAGCACTATTAATGGACTCTGGATTAGGGATAGGAATCGATTTAGTCGACAAAAAATTTATATGTAAATTACTATGTTTAGTTAATTTAGATGACTAAATCATATAGCTGATTCCTATCCCTACTCTTGATATAACGAACTTGAAATTTAAAATTTATATAATAGTTTAGAAAGTGCAATAGGTCTTTAAGAAAGCATAGTAATTTTCTATAATGAACTTTTTTCTTCCAGAACTGTTAGTTTGTTATAGAAAGAGTTGACTGTATATATTAAATTTTTTATTATAGTAGATGCTTAAATATTAATACAGTAAAGAATTTGCATCAAGAAATTTATAAATAAAATTGGTTGAAAAAAAATAGAACTAGAGTTATTGATTTCATTTTTTTAAAAACATAGCAAGTGGATCATGTGATATATAAACTTTTATGAAGTATGCTGGGGTAGTTTTCTTTGTTGCCTTAGGGGCTTGTACTTTGGTACAAATTTTAGTTATTGTTTTTTTAATAATTTGGAAGGCAACTGTAATATTTGCTGGACAGAAGATCTAGTATATGTTTGTTTTTATATCTAGTATGCATCTTAGATAGTTTGAACTAGAATATTTTTTAGAGTTGCAGGTATGAAGATTAAGAAGTGTTGAAAATTCATTAAATAGTAGTTTAAGTTTATTTGAGATTTTTAGAGTAGTGAATTTTGTTATTAGTTTGTTATAGTAGTTTAAATAGTTATGCATTGTTTTCTATAAAATATGAATTCTATTTAGATTCTATTTTTTATTTTGCTTTGTAAATATTATTTGCTATATGCTAAGCATTTTGAAGATATCAAATAAACCTTCAAAATTTGTATATAATGTAAGCTTATTGTTAGTGTATAGTTTTTTTTTTTTTTTTTATTTATTGGCAGCCTCGCTGGTATCTTTATTAGATCAAAGCTAATGTAAATTTACATTATAAACTATTTAAATTATAGATCTGACATCACTCGGCTTTCTCTATAGCACCCAAGTGCGGTCTGCTTTACCGGTTAAGGCTATTGCCTGTACTGGAGAGCTGCACCAAGCTAGCCAATAAAACCATAGCAAAATAGTTTTGATTTAAAGAGATTTTAACTAAACTAAATTAGCAATTTTTCTTTTCTAACCTATCTTCTATTTTATTATGAACTAAAACTAATTTTCTATTATTAAACAATTCTATCTTCTTTCTTAATAAGGGTTATTATCAGAAATCTCTTGTTTATATTTGCGTTTCCTTTTTTTCTTCTTCCAATTAAACCTGTTCTTTCTAATTAAAGACTCATTTCTTAGGACCTTATATTTTATAGCTTTGTGAACTTTTTCTGCTTCTTGGGAGCTTTTTCTGTGATCTTTCTCTGCTGATACTCTTCTGTAAGTTTTCTTTTCTTCAAAAAATCTTGGGCCTTCTTTTGGTCTTTCTGTTTCAGAGTCTTGTATAGTCTACCCGAATTAATTTTCTTCTATGTTCTGAGGATAGAGGTCTTTTTTTTCCTTTTCTTTACCTTCTTCTTTTTCTTTTTCTTCCTAGGCTTTGGCTTTCTTCCTAAAAACTTTCCTTGAATTTCAATAATGATTCTCTAATTCTCGAGGATTTCTACAAAGATCTTTTCTAATATTTCAAATAATATATCTTTTTTCTTCTTTTTTCAATTTTTGGTATCTTTCCATCTATAAGCTATTGTATCTTGAAGCGAATT